ATGAAGACAGCTGAAAGGTGAGACAGGCGAGAGACAGACGGAGCATATAAATAATATCAGTCCAGCAGTATAGGTAAGTTTGTGATCACAGACAGCTGAAAAGTGAGGTAGGTATCGGATGGAGCATATCAATTCTTAGCTTAGGGACTTGTCTGGAAAAGCTGCTATTCTAATGTTAGATGATGATGATGAATAATCATCCAATGACGACCTACCACAGGGACAAGATAATGATTACAATGAAAAATAATTAATTATTCATCGAAGCAATTAATAGCCATTATCGATAACTGTAGAATATTTTATTTCAGCTGAAATTCAATTTTACGATAAAATCTTTGCATGTAACTTATTTTTACAAATTTGCTTAAGCTAGTATTTTCTCATTTTTAATTTTCGTTCAGTGAAATTTTGACAAAAAATAAATTCCAAGTCACTTGACTCACTGGAAAAACATCAGCACATTCCCCTTTTGTGTGCCAAGCCATCTTTTGTTACTGTACTTTTTACATATTTTCTATATTTCCTAAGAAATTTAGAAAAGATCTGTAACCAATGTAAAATCAAGCCCCATTTGGTAAAAAATTAAAGAAATTATAGAGAAAAAAAATCAAAATGTTACTCACAAAATTTTGGCGGGAAAAATAATGGTGTTCAAAAGGTTAACCAGTGAGAGATTTTTTAGATGAATCTCGATTCAGAATTATATATATAAAAAAAAAAAATATGTTTCCAAGATATCAAGAATATCTATATTAGAATAGCATGTACTTAACCACGTACTGGTACACCCGTTATATCAGTAAAGATATCTTAAATACTAATACAAAATAATCAATATTAATTCATTTATGTGCGTAAAGAAAACATTATAATTTCAATATTCTACTACATCATATTCTGTATTCAATATTAAAGAAATAGTCAAAGGTCATGGTAGACAATTTAGCGACTGACCTATTTATTTACATACTGCATAATTTATTCTGGTGGCCTCATTATATTCTTAGCCAGTATCCTTTTATACTACGAGCGTAAATATATTAATGATTTACACTAACATCCCATACTCATCCGTTGCTGACGACAAATCGGGAATGAGGAAATATCTTCATGGATAAATGAACGTCAAGAGCAAAAGAAGGCAGGCATCAACAGAATGTTTTCAAGAAAAGAGCAAGAAATATGGCGACCATGCACAGTTGGCGGGGATTCATTGTTAGATTCAGATCTCCAGAGACGGTAGTACTATTGAATGGCAGGCATGCAGAGAGCAGGTGAGCTCATCGATTAATTTACTGAATTCCATTTTCTATGGTATGGTTTATCAAGAATGATTTATGGCAATTTGGGGGTGGGCAGAGAGTTAAAAGACGACAAGACTCAATACAAAGACCTATAAGTTCCCCTAATTAATGAACGAATTGATTGCAGGCTTTAAAACTGACAAACTATAAGTTAATGAGGAGGATTTACAACAGTTTTATGTATTTAGGGAGTGAGTACTTTATATTTGAAATCAGCTTTCATATTTGTAGTCTTATATGCATACTAATGATATTGCGTTAGATGAAGTGGCCATGGCGTCTTTACGTCAACTAGTGTTTATAGTATGATCACCATATACTTGTATATTATGAATTTTAATGGCAATGGTGGAGTAGTAGAAAAACTAACAATAAATACAAACATGTACGCGTTCATATCTACTTCCACAGTGGTATAGTCGTCAATACTCATCTGTTAAGACGTTGCTTGATATTACTTTTGTGAGCTGATAAGAGTGTTTGATATGTTGCTAGATGGTATTGCTGGATAATGGATTATTAATAATTAATAATTATAGCAGGGTGCTAAAAAATAATGTTTATAATAGTTCATTTTGTTATAAGTTTTTTAGTTTTAATTAATAGGTTATAGTCGATATATTTAAGAAAGCAGGTTGCTATGTGATACAATGTACATTACATAACAATAAATTACTAGTTACCAGGTTGCTAGTTAATATGTTGTTTGGTAAAACATTACATATTTGTTGCTAGCTGCTGGTTGTAGTTAAAGGACGGTAGTCATCGTGCCGTGCATGCGTGAGATATGGGTCTCATATAAACAAAGATGGCAAAGATTGACTGTTGCACCCCCCAACTAGTACAAACTGAGCGGTTACCAAGCTTTAATTAGACATTTTTTTGGTGTTTGCGAGGTATCGAAGGAGTCGCTGATGGTAGTTAGTCAAGTGGCGCCCAGGCCAAAACTCTTACTTGTGATTTCATTATAAAAACGCATTTGATTTTGAGAAAATGAATGTTCGTCAACAGAAATGTCGCACATGTGTGGCGTGATGACTACCGCCCTTATATATATTGCTTACAAAGAGGTTATAGGTTGATATTAAACTATTATTCAGGGTTGAAGTTTATATATTTTAGGTACTGGTAATAAATATTTGAATATGCCAGTTAAAGCGAACCTAAATGCGGCCTTAATTTATAGTTGTGTATATTCTAAACTGTATTCGAAATAATATTGCAGTGGTTTAATTTTGTTTTAATTATAACTGTAGCTTGGATAGGCATTTGAAGTGCTTGCCATGGAGGCCATTCATGGAGGGGAATAATTAACGAACGAACATATTTAACATCCGGGTACTTTTCAAAGCTATGACGTTTTAGTATCTGATCGCATTCGTATACGCCATTGTACATAGCCGTTCATGCTGCCAAGCATTGTGTACTATTAGTATAAACTCAACTTTTATATGCACAATGTGCTTTTTAAAACTTGGGTTAGAGCCTTATGCGTTTGAAACACAGTATTCTGAGAGTGGAAGCTCAATTGCGTTAAAGTACCGTACTTCCCCGATCGTAAGTTAGTTAGTTAAAACTTTGCTAGAAGCTAACATTTTCGTTGCAATGATTTTAGTAAACATTTTCAGGGTGTAGCACAAAGGACATGAAAATACTGAAACTAGATACTTACATTTATACTAGTATTTACTATAAAAATTAATCAGCTGTCAGAAAGCATGACAATTCAAGTACATTAACAATCCTGCAAAAGCTCCTCAATTAAAAAAATCTAATTGAATGACAATCCTGCATCAAAACGAGCAAAATGCAAACTACAGAATACTTGCTTCACTTGAAAAAAAATATCACTCCAACCACCAACCAGTAAAAAAAAAGAATTATTGATGAGACAAGGCGCCCCCAGGTGGTCGGGTAGAAAGATGTGGTTAAAGAGCCAATGCTAACCAATAAATTTAACCACACTTTTACATCTTTTATAAAACTACTCAACTAGGCATTAGGCAATCTTATTATGACTTGAAATTCCGCTTTTACACAACATGCAATGAATATAATATTTCAATACAAGAGACAGCAATAAATCTTGCAACTAACAAGAGTGGTTTTACTAGACTACTCCAT